ATAATTTTTTTTTTTATAATTGTTATATAAAAAATTTTTTAATAATAAAAAAACACCCCGCCATTACTTTTTTGGGGGACTGTAAAAACGGATTTCTGTAACTATTATTTAAAATTTTTTGTTGAATAAAAATGGATAATGATAAAGAAAATATTTGAAATTTTTTTTAGAAAAAGAAAAAAATAGAAATTGATATTATCTTAAAGAAATAGTCTAAAATTCTTTGAAAATGAAAAGAAAAAACAGGATGAAGTATCAGTTTATGTAGATAATTTATTTTTAACAAAATTCTTCTTGAATGCAATGAAAAGGAATGATTTGATTGGCGATAAAATTGGTTTAACTAGTCATTAAAGAAAATGTTCAACAGCCTTTTAATTTATCTTTTTGGTGATGGATGGACATCAGGTATTGTAGTAATATTAGACCTATCCGATTTTGCTTGTTTTTTCCACCTTGTAACATTACTTTTACCATCCACTGAATCATTCACAACTTTCATCGTTTGGAGTACTAGGAGCTAGAGAAGAAATCAAGTATCAAAAGAAGTTTAAAACTTAAATGAACTAAGTGTAACTTACCTTTGCATATATTATCTCAACTAGCACGTCCAAGGATTTACCAAAATTATTTACATCCACATAAACTTCAAGTGGATTTCTTCTTGTGTATTGACAGATATACCCATCTGGGCAATCAAGATTTGTTCTAATCAACACAGCGCCTTTAAAAAAACAATAAAGGAAATTTAATTGCTTTTATTCCATGCATATTTGTTTTTGTTAAAAAACCTACAAAGTGAACATAAAATTATAAAAATATATATAGGGATAAGTGTATATGAAAATTAATAATGAAAATATTGGATCTACTGAATATAAAAGGCATTTGATTTTTTAGAAAAAGAGTGTAACTGTGGCTGCTCTTCAAGAATTCCCAAGGAACAATTTGCAGAATTAAGAGAATCTTTTCAAGCTCTTTCTAAAGTAGAACAAGACATATTTTTAATGGCTCAACTTAAGGCAATGGATGGTGGGTCAATAAACAGTAGTAGACGCCTTAAGAATAAAACTAGATCTAATAAAAGAACTTTCTGCCATTGGGATCACAATACACTTCTTTGTCAAGAAACTTACTTCAACATCCGGAAATATAAAAAATTTTACACATGTCAATTGTAAGTTTAATAATAAAAAAGTGTAAAACTTACGTCGGCACTGTAAGATTTACACAATATTACGTCAGCATCGTAAGATTTATGCAAGTTTACGCTAAATTAATTTCCTGATGAATATCTTGGGGATTGACAGGACTTATTTTGAAAATATTAGAAATCACCTGATAAATAATGGTCTTCTACCAAGAATTCATGGTAATATTTAAAGAATGCCTCAATGGAAAACTAAAATGGTGATTGATAAAAATGTTGCTGAAGTTATAAAGAATTTTCTGGAAAATTATGCAGAGTAAGGTTGTGGGCGAAACCTCTTAATGACTGTCGAAACTCTGTCGAAACTCTAATGAACAATTAATGTGTAACCTGTCGAAACTCTGATGATTGGCGAAAACCCCAAATGCGAAACTCTGCCGAAACTCTAATAAACAATTAATGTGTAACCTGTCGAAACTCTGTCGATTGATTTCTGGAGGAGTTTCTCCCGCAACCTTAGATACTAGTCAACGTTTTAGAGATGGTTTACATTATAATGCTTGTCAAGAAGAAGTCAAAGATTTACTTAAAAGATTTAAAGAACATCTGTCCAAGCCCAAAGTAGAAAGAAATTATTACAATAAAAATACCAAATTAGCAGAAGAGCAAAGAAAATTAATTAATCAAAATTATTCCCAAGGTAAAACCTCATATTGCAGTATTGATGCTACTGCTCATTATAGTTATGATTGAGCCCATAATGTTCATGTGCCCCATTCAGATCAACAGGTAAGTAGGATTTATTACCTTAGTCCATGTAAATTCCATTTATTTGGTATTCAAGATGAAGCAATAAGGGAACAAATTAATACATTCTTGATGAAAATGAAATTATAGGTAAAGGTCCCAATGGTACACTCAGTATGATTTTTGATGGAACTAAGAAATTGAATAAAGGTGAAAAGCATTTAAAGATTACTTGTGATAATGCTGGGGGACAAAATAAAAATAATGTAACCATTTGATTTTATTTATATTTGGTAATTTAGGGTTATTATGAAAGTATTGAATTAAATTTCATGATTCCAGGGCATACTGAATTCAAATGTGATGGTAGCTTTGGATTAATTAAAAACTCTACAGGAAAACAAGTGTAATAAATTATTATTTTTTAATTGAATCAGTGATGTTTTTATAATGTTTCAACATTAAAAATGTTATGAATATAATTTCCTTTTTATTATTTATTATCATTATTATTATTTTTATTTCATTTTTCGGGAACATATATGTATTTTTATTATAATAATAAGATAGATTATTTTCCTTTTAATTGCTGATCTGTGAATGAATCAGAGAGACCCTCAAATCTGTGTTTCCTACATATAAAATCTTTATTTATCACACAAAATATGCATAAAAGTAATATCATCCTGTGGTACAAAAATAATACAATTTTTTGTGTAAAGGTCGACAATTGGCAATTTTTGCACCAACATTTACTATTAAAAATGCAGATCTTTGATTTATTCACATATCACCAATTAAGGATTTTTGCTTTTTATTAGGTAACAATGCATCATCGTGATGCTTTCTTTTTCTGACATTGATTATTTTTCTTTCTTCTTGGTAAATTTCATAGGTAATTTTTTCTTTTCTTAGATATGCTTCCAGTGTCTTGAGTATCATTTGTTTTGAAAATATAAGGAGCAATTTTTCACCTTGTTCCTTTTTCAAAATACTTCTGATAGTACTATAATTCTTGGGTTCCATGGTAGACCTAATGTAAATGAGTTTCATATTAACTATTTTTATATTCTAAATATCATTTAACAAATGAGACATTATAAAACTGTTAATTACAATCACATTACAAATGACTAAATTTTGTTCCCTGAAATCCTTGGCTATGCCAATGTTCACTTTGTCTGGTTTTGTCACAGCATGCTCTGAATAAACATCTTGTCTGGATATTTCTTTCTTAATTGAGATTTAAAACCAATGATTTTAATGAAGATGCCCTATAAAAAATAACATATGAAAAAACAGCACATGAACTGTATTATTTTATGGAATAGGCACAGAAAAATGCACCATTAATGTATGGAATCTTCCCATTAAATGTGCCAAAATGTGTGGGATAGGTATGGAATGCATAAAATCATTATTTATTCTTCCTTTAGTTTAATCAAAATAAATAAAACATCACTATCTTTTTATTGTTATTGAATCCTTTCCTTGAATGCAAATGCCTTTATTCCCACTAAAAATGGCTCCTCAATTAAGGGAATTGTTATTCGCATCCCCACGTGACTAAGTTTAGTAATGTGGCCAATGAATGGCTTGATCAAAAATAAATGTGATGTACACTCCCCTACAAAAAATATCCGACCACTTGTGCTGTGTAATGTCAAATATCAAAAATATCATTAAATTAATTACCTTTCAGCAGGTAAAACACCCATCAATTGTTCAAATGGTTTAAATGGTTCACCCAATTCAAAATTAATATCCAAATCGCCTATATCAACAAAATCAGATGCAAAAGGCGAATAATGATACGGATAATACCATTTCCACGATGGAACACCTTGAAAATAATATTTCAAAACCCAACATAATCCTTCAACATAACTCTTTACAACGCTAATTATTATTGTATTTCGTTTAAATGTAATAAATATATATGATTGATTAGTAGTTGATTTTTTCTTTTTTTAAAACTGATCATTTTAATTAATTGTAAGTTAGGCAAATAAGCATACTTTTTGCGAAATTCATCGGTTGGCTCGTCTGATATATCAACATCAAATTTTTCTTTATAATATCGTTTTTTGAAACCTGGTTCTCCAAGTCTAATGATAATATATTATAAAGTAAATAAAAATATATGTATAATATTCGTAAAACTAATCATATAATTATTACTTATTATTATTAATTACCTGATAGGATCAATAAATTCATGAGATTCTTCATTTGTGGCAGAATCAGCAATTTCTGAAGCTGAATTAGTAACAGCAGTAGCAGGTGTCGTTGTATCCTCTTGATACTCTACAATAGCAGCTTCTTCATTTACCACAACGATGTCTTTATCATTTTCTTCATCAAATTCTTCAGCTTTTCGTTTAACACCTTTAACAGAAGTCAACAAATCATCAATACTTTGTGCCGCCTGTTGATAATCCTCATTTCCTCTTCCTTCTCCTCCAGCTACTATTGTTGTTTCTTCTATTGTTTCTGTTGTTTCTACTATTGCTACTGTTGAAGTTGTTGTTGATGATGATGAATTCAATAGTTCAGATCTTAATGATTGTGCAGCATTACGATTAGCATAGCTTGTTATTGGATCGTGACTTATTTTTCGTTTTTTCGGAACATTATTATTATTTTGTTGATTTCGTCTCGATTCGTCTTTATCACAAATAATAATAATAATAAATAATGATAACAACAATTATAATATAATTTTATCTTTAGTGTTTATATTACTTACTTCTTTGCCTACGAATAAAAATATCATCTTCCATTTTTCCTAATTCTGTAACTAGATGTTGCATTCTTTTTAAATTAACCTATATTTTTAGGAAAATGTCGTGAAAATTTCATCAATGATCATCTCAAGTATAATAAAGATCTCATCTATATATCAAAAAAGAAACTACAAACATTTCCATTAGTAGTCATGTATCCGCCCATTATTGGCAAGCACCTTTTCCAAATGGTAATAAGTGTATCAATAGCACCTTCTCTAATTTCCAAAGAAGGCAAATGCGGAAGAAAATCATTTCCGACAAAGAAACACATAAATACCCAATCGTCTATTGAGTTTTCAAAATTGTAAGGCCAAGGTAATGGTCCAATGTTGAGTTCTATCTCAAGATATTCACGAAGAACCTGCACATCTAGAAATACGTAGGGCTTTAGTAGTACTTCTCTACCTTTTTCATCATGGTCTCCTACTTTTTGTTTGGCTTTTCCTATTATTATTATTAAGGTTTTTGAAAATATTTTGCATATAAATAAATAAATGCTTTTATAAAAATAATGTAAAAAAGATATATTTAAAAACCTGTGCATTGATTCGCTATATGATCATTTTGACCACATATAAAGCATCCTTTATATATGCCTTCTCTAAAGAAGACATCTTCACGCAACACTTTAAAATGAGGTTCATGCGTAGCCAATGATAACATAATGAGATCAGCATCCTAAAATGGTTTTTTGATTGAAAGGTAAGGTTATATAATTAATTATTAAAAATAATGTATCATCCCTTCCATAAACCTACCAATCCATATATGACATGATGTGTATTAGGATCATGATAAGGACTTGTACGTTGACTACGAATAAAATCCATAATTTTGTGTTCGCCTTCACCAGGAACACTTGCATCTGATAATATCACTTTCAACTATTGTAAATGAGACGCATATAAGTATTAAAATCAAATTTTTTTTCCAAAAATTTAAATTAAAAGATAGAATCGTATGTACATTTTTCCATCCAACATCATTATTCAATTTATCAGCAATCCAATATCTTAAGCATGCAGCGAGTTTTGCCATGAAAGGAGTACCTGGTGTAATACAATTGCTATCAAATGATTTTTTCTTCTTTAGGTCTTCATCAAACAGTACTCCCGATTCTATTTTTTAAAAAAAAACCTTTAATTGAATTATAAATGAATTAAAAATCTTTATTATAATTTTTAAAATTATTAATGACTACATGCCCTCAAGTGCAACCATTTCTAGAGTCTTTTCATTAGCCTTTTCTTTATCTTCTCGTGCTGTTCTAAACCTACGAGATCGTTGTTGATTCATTTTAGCACGAGGAGCTACCCCATCTATATATTAAATAAATAAATAATTAATTATAATTGTCATTATAAAAATCATGAAATATAAATTTTATTTGATATTTTACCGATTGCAAGATATAATACTTTTCTTGGACGTATCATTGCCACAATTCGTTCGGTATATTTAAAGATATCTATAATCATATCTTCTTCAGTTTCAGGAGTGGGCTAAAATGATATTATAATGATGTGTTAATTATTATAATCAAAAAATCAAATAAGCCCATGATAACATCAACACACTAACTTTATCTTCTGGGTGACAACATGGATGAATAATACCATTCATATCAAGATATAAATTATCGAATTCCGTCTTATTTGGATTTGGCTTTGATGTATCAACTGGTATTTCTACACCATTTATCATAATCGGTCGTTCCTCGATGACTTGTTGAATGATTTTGGGATATTTTTTTGAAAGCCATCTATATTATTATTATTATGCAATGGATTTGATATGAAACTTTGCTGTTGCTGCTGGAAAACAAATAGATCTTTACAACAAGAATTACCTGAATAATGCTGGAACACCCATTTTTAAATTTAGTAATAAATTTATAGATATTTATTTATTGACGAAAAAATATGAATTTTAAAAAGGAATTTTTCGAAACTTAAGTGTTACGAAAATGATTGTGTCGTGTAACGTTAATGTTGATATATATTGATATTAATATTGATTGATGTTAACGTTAAGTGCTGTTTAAACAGATAGAAGTTCTATTTATACTAAATAAAGAAAAGATGTCAGGCCAGCAAAATATTTAGTTGTGAATCATGGGAAACTAATAAATAAATCGGAAATGATTTACGAGTTACGTGAAATGAAAAATTGTAACTGGAAGAGATCATCACGGAAAAACCAAACAAGAAATAAAACCGGTACAATTTATCAACTGTTACACGATCAACATAGCAATAGTGAACCAATAGAATAATCGATTCGGAAAATAAATACCATATTCCAACATTCCAAAATGTAATAGGCCTAGATTAAATTTAACAAAGAAATTTAAAATTACTTGTTCACACCAGAAATAACTTGAAGATAATTCTACAGAGAAGGTTCAAATTATGTTTAAGGAGTATATTTAATTAGAACAAATTAGGATTTCAAAGAGATCAGAGAACTAAATGATTGAACCTTTAACATGTATAAATAACATTGTAATTTTCTTAACTTCATGTAATATCTTTATCTAATAATAACATATATTTTAGTAATAATAATAAACATAATAATAAAACTATATTCTAACTAAAAAACTCTTGTCAGCAGAAGGATTGATTCTTTTGCTAAACCCATCTAACTAATTATTTAATTAATTACTATCTTACCAGTAGACATATTTGTTAAATATATTTATTTCTTTTATTTTTATTTCTTTTTAGTAGAACTTAGGTTGAAGCCTAAGATTAATGAAAAAACCAGTTAAATCTGAACTGAAGATACAAGAGTAGGGCTCAATGTAATGATGCTAATGATAATATTTGAACTCAGGCAGATAACAAAGGACTGCTGAGAAAATGCAAACAGGGATAGGAGCCATTCCTGGGGATTGATAGCCAAAGAAGTTATTGAAATTATTGATTGTATTTGTAAAGAAAAGCAATCGCATATTAAGATTAGTAAGTTAAAGAATAGTGAAATTGAGTTTGTATTAGAATACTGGTATAAATAAAATTTTGGAAATTTTGGGTAAGGCTTGGACAATCTCACAGTATGAATTGAATTGTTTTGGTATTTATTTTATATCCCTTCCATCTCTTTTATTGTATAAATAAAATTTATGTTTAAAATAATTAAGCCACTGTTAAGGGTGGAATGATGACCATAACAAAAACCTGTTATACAAAATTTTTGAAATATTCTTTGCTTCTTTATTTTTATCATGTTTTACTAATTTAGGGAGTTTTACAGACAAAGTTTAATGTATCTAGGTTAAATATGGGAACCACAATTAGCTGCATTCAATTTTCATATGTCACAACTGCAACCACAATTCAATTTTTATATGCTACAATTAGTTGCAACTAGTTGCAATTAATTAAGGAAATTGTTATTCGCACCTCCCAACATAGCGGGTATTCAATTTTAAGAAATGATCAGCATTTATTACACTACATATGTTTCATATACAAACTGACTGTCATCTGACT